CGAAAGCAACATCATTTTATTGTTATTATCATCCGATCGTAATAAATCACAATTCATAACAAGACACAGTCACAATCAACCCGCAAATCTCCACACCTCACCAAACCTATCACATCTTTTTTTCAATGAACTAAAAAAAAAAAAAAAAATCAGCTAATATCAGTTCCCAGAATCAGCTTTTTTTCATCACTCAAACTCTGAAGATATAAACACGTGAGAGACACCGAGGTCGAGTCGTGCAGTCGATCACAGTCGGCCGCCGGTCGGGAGAGCTGCAGTTCGGTTCCTCGACCCACATCCGCGGTCGTGCAGCTGCCGGGTCAGCGGTTCGGAGGCCTCACCTGGCGGGTAGTTAGGCGTTAGAGTAGGATATACGGGTAAAAAAATCACATATCTATTTATCTATTTGCCTGTCTTATAATTCTATTTGTCTGTCCCACTGCCCAACTATCCATTCATCCATCCATGTATCTCTCCAACCTTCACTCATTCATCAGTTTCATCCACCCATCTATCTATTTAACTCTATATCTATCTATCCATCCACCCTTCCTTCCCTCCACCCTGCCTTCCTTCCTTCCTTCCATCTATTTATAACTATCCAACCCTTCCTTTCTTCTATCAATCCATCCATCCATCCCTTCAGCCACCCACCCTTCCTTCCATCCATCCATCCATATCCCATGTTCTAGGCCAAGTGGATTCGTACCCCTCACGAGAAAGACATCCACGGACGCGTATCTTCAGACCGGGCTCGTCCTTCGGGCAGCGCGGCACCACCCAGGTTGCGAGGAGGGTGAACGGGAGGGCCGGAGGCCACAGCGTCTCGGGGTCGGTTCGGGCGTCGTCGGCCACACTTACACCTGGAGGTTATATGTAAACAAGTTCATACATGCAAGCATACATACATGCATACAGACACACACACATACACACATATGTGTGTGTGTGTGTGTGTTCGCGTTAGCGTGTGTGTGTACGTGCGGTGTGTGTGTGCGTTCGTGCGCGCGCGTATGTGTGTGCGTGCATGTACGTTTATGTAATGATCTCGGTCTGTATTCACAAGATGTGCATCAATCAGTATGAATTATCCTCATCTTGCTGTCAGCCATGCATATCACAAGGGCACAAACGCAAATGATACTCACGGTCCTCCAGCCGGGCGAGCGCCGCCGCCAGCGCCGGCAGGCTCTGCAAGTCCGTCGAGATCGTGACAGACGTCGCGGACGTCGGCAGGTGCTCGGCCGTGGGAGCCTAGGCAGCTCGTCAGAGTTCCAGAGCTGGCTGCACGCGGCTGGGTGACGGGTTCGAGTTGTCCCAATGTCCTCCTCGTAGGAACCACCTGATCGAGCAGTAGACCAAGACCGTCTCCCATGTCGCCTGTAATGGTCCGCTGATCACAGTTCTTCAACAGTTCGACGATTAATTTCATGACTAGTTCATCCGGGTTGCCTTCTTCTATGGCGAAGAGAAAGTACCAGTGAGGTCGCCCCATTAACCATCTCTTATCTTGTTTGATAAAATGTCGAGTATTGTCTTAACAATAGACTTTGGAACGGTCTCTAGATCTGTGATCAAAGCAGTCTATTATCTATCTGTATATCTTCCATTGTGATTGGATCAGTCCCAGATAGATGTGCAGTTTTCTTTATCATTTCGGAGTCCTTTTCCTCATACTTTCCCAGTCTTTCCTTTAGGCCCATGTCTCTGGGTGGGCCGTAGTGGACTGAGCGGATGAGGTGTTCCAGAGTATCGCCAGGTGTGGCCCAGACTTCCCAAATGTCAGCCAACTTGTATACTTTATAGCAAGAAGTGTAGCAGCCACATGTCAAATATTTCGGGATATTCCCCCGTTTCTATTTTATCCTTCCATTCACTTCTGAGGTACACTCTTTCCATTCCCTTCCCGAACGGAGGTGATGGCCGTCTTGATGCAAGGACCCCTTTTGTAGAGCCATTGAAACATTTTTGCCGGAGCGATTCTACCTTTGTTCTCGCCAGCCATGTGATCTGGCAATGCATTCAGGGGCTCCCTTTTCGGCGCCTGGCTGGAGGCCGAGGCAGGGTTTTCGGATGAAGAAACGCTGGCCGTGCTGACAAAATATTTCAGGTTTCACAAGTTCAAATTTCCACAATACCGGTCTGGTTTCAGAAGCTCTCTATATATTTATATTTAAAAATACATTTTTCAACTCTGGAAAAGTAAAGCGTTGGTGTGTTAACGATATGCAAATATGCAAGGCTTTACAGTACAGTGGTAGCTCTACACAGCTATATATGCCATAATATATGGATAGCTGTCTTGATAGGGAGTCCCTCTAGCCGAGGATAATACAAACGTTTTAATGGTTTTCACATTCCCAAGCGGCAGACCTGGAGCAAATAACGCCATCTCATTAATTACAAACTGATCACACAAAACCTAGTAACACCGGACACTTTAAACGAATATAATAAAATCCGCAATCATGACCTAATTGCTATTATGACTATTATCTCCAGTCGCATTTTATAATCACTGTAAACTGTGCCTTGCCCGAGCAGAACACAGCCATCGAAAGTGAAAATACCGGACGCAAATCTTCATTCCACAAGAGTTAAAAAAATGCCTTTCCTTACTAACAATCAGGATTTGCTCACGGCGACACACAGACGTCTTCCTCATCTTCTGTTTTCTTTCTTTTTTCGTGCTCTCCCGGGCCAATTACAGGCTGTTTACGGTGGAAGACGGCGGACGCTTGGGTATTGTCGGATGTAAAGGGAGCTGCCTTGTGCGTAAACCCCTTTGGCCGGGGAGGGAAACAGTCTGCTGCGTAATACTAAAAGGGCGATATATTTCGGAGGTTATCCTCATTGCTATCATTTCTTCCCTTGCTTATCCTATTCTTAACTTTAGAAAGTGAATAGCGTATAAAACTAGAGGTGAAAACAAACAAACAAAACAACAAACACACACACGCACACAAAAGACAACAGGATAGAAACAGAGATCGCTGGCAATGATTCTCTCTGTTTCCACATGTTGCACGTCCAAACATCTGTTCGGATACATTAATGCTCTCTCTCTCTCTCTCTCTCTCTCTCTCTCTCTCTCTCTCTCTCTCTCTCTCTCTCTCTCTCTCTCTCTCTCTCTCTCTCTCTCTCTCTCTCTCTCTTCTGTATATCACTCACACTCAGTCACTCACTCACACTCAGAGAGAGAGAGGGAGGGAGAGAAAGAGAGAGGGAGAGAAGAGAGAGAGGGAGGGGGGGGGAGAGATACATTGCTCTTCTGTTAGTCAGATTTGTATGCTTATTATCATTACGACGAACAGCGTAAACACGAGCTACGTAACATAAAAGCAGTTTTCTGATTGTCAGTCGATATATAATGTGAAGAATGCGAGTATGAGCAAATTAAGATTAGAGTTTATGCCGGATTGTAAAAAAAGTCGAATAGGCCGAAGGTTCAGGAAATTTTCTGTTCATGCATACAGCAGCACGGAGAATGAGCGGAGAAATAAATGTCATGAAGCACATCAGAAATCTATGATGAACTTGGGATTGTCGGACACCGCCAGCTCCAGCGCCAAGTTCTGCAGCCGCCCGCAGTCGATCGCCACGTCGGATGTGCTGAAGGTCACCAGGAGATCCTCGGCCCACACGCCCCGCTCGTGCAGCTGCCGGATCAGCAGCTCGGAGTCCCCTCCTGCCGGGCCATCGAGAGTTACATAGGTACGAAGTGTGGTAAAGAATCCAATACAGACATACACGCATGCCGGATACATACACAGGTGTTCGACTGCTCACGTACCTTTGATGAGACTAACCCCCATGTACGAGTAGCGCCTTTGGCTCGAGGGCGGGCACAGCTGGCGGGCGGCGTGGCACCACCATGGCACGTCCTCGGAGCTCAGGTTGCGAGGGGAGTCGATGTACATGAACGGGCCAGGCAGGGGTGGCAGCGTCTCGGGGTCGGGGCGCGCGTCGTCGGTCAAACCCAGAGCTGTGGAAACGTGGGATCTCGGTTTTAGTTTCGTCTCGTCTCCGCTCATTTGCTTCCGTTATTCAATATTTGTTGATGTATAATAAGCTTAACTTGTCCCTTGTAGCTACCGTAGTTTTCGTTGGTGAATATGTGCTGTTGTGTTTTGATTTACTATGCTTTTTGATTTTCCTTATTTTCTAGTATGGTGTCTTACTCGAACCTACAAACTAGTTGTCTAAATTTCCTCCAGTTCTTATGGAAAGACCTAATTATACACACTGCGGTGGTATACAGTGCAATGTGTTAACAAAATACTCTTTACTAGATCAGATATCTAAGGAGAATTCCTATATCTAGACAAAAAATAAAAATAGATATTCTAAAGATGCTGTCAAGATTACTCTGCGTCATTATCTGTCTATGGATCTATTATCTATCCATCTGTCTATCCATTCATACATAAATAAATAAAATATTATGTTTATCTAGCTTTCCATTTCTTTTCCTCCGCCAGTGTGTGCGTATGCTTGTGCCTGCCTGCCTACCTGTCTGTCTGTCTGTCTGTCTGTCTGCGTGCGTGTGCGTGCACGATTGTGTAATAATCTCGGTCTATATTTTCAAGATTTGTATTAATCAGTATATATCATCCTCATCTTGCTGTTAGCCATGCATATCAAAAGGGCACAAACGCAAATGATACTCACAGAACCAGTCGAGGTCCTCCAGCCGGGCGAGCGCCGCCGCCAGCGCCTGCAGGCTCTGGAAGTCCGTCGAGATCGTGAGCGACGTCACGGACGCCGGCAGGTGCTCGGCCGTGGAACCCGATACAAAGCCTTGACAGCTCGTCACCTTGCAGAGACTGCCGGGCCCCGTCAGAGCCTTGAGGTACGAGGCGCCTTCACCTGAGCGCGAGGAGGTGTACAGGTCCACCTCCACGCTCCGCTTCGCCAGGTCCTCCAGCGCTGGCTGCACGCGGCTGGGCGAGGGGTTCGAGTCGAACCACAAATTCATCCTCTCGGGAACCACCTGGTCCAGCAGTAGGCCGAGACCGTTTATCATGTCGCCAGTAATGGTCCACTGATCGCACTTCTTCATTATCTGAACGACCAAGTCAATCACCTTTTTGTCTTGCTTCGATTCTTCCACAAGGCAGAGCAAATAGTCAACCAAAATGCCTTCATCCCCGTCTGTTGACGGAGTGTCTTTGTTTGACAAAATGTCGACAATTTGAGTGACAATGGATTGTGGCACAGACTCCGGCTCCGACTCGATAATGCCCCTCACTTGGTCGAAGTATTGCTTGATCTCCGTCAGCAGCGCTTCCACGAGGTGCGGGTCCTTCCCGGAAAGGTGGCCAGCCTTCCACAGCATCCGGGCGATGCACTCCTCGAAGTCCGCCAGTCTCTCCATCGGGCCCATCTCGATCGAGGGTCCGAACGCCACCTGGTGTATCAGGTACTCCAGGGTGCCGCCCGGGGTGGTCCACATGCACTCGTCGGCATCAGCCAACCCGCACGTATTCTCCAGCAGGAAGTAGAGTAGCTGCCTGTCGAACGTCTCGGGATCTGCGCCGGATTCGATCTTCTCCTTTTGTTCATCGCTGAGAAATATCTCGTCCCACTCGCTTGCCACGGCGCAGGTGACGGCCGTCTTGATGCAGGGGCCGCCTTTGTAGATCCACTGGAACACCTTTGCCAGCGCCACTCGCCCTTTGTTCCCGCCGGCCAAGTGGGACAGCAGCGTGTTCAGCAGTTCCCTCTTGGGAATCTGGCCGGCGACCGCGGCGGGGTGTTCGGGCGAGGAAACGGCCGGACGTATTGACAGCATATTTAAGGCAGGCGAGTCGCAGGATCCTCAAGCGCCCAGGCTCTCCTCAAGGTCCGCCACTCCCACACGCAAAAAATTCCTAAGCAACAATTTCTAGGTTGAAATACTTATAAGTATTCCTCGCGCGGAGATTCTTTTTTTCTTGAATGTGTTTGTTTTTTCTTTTTCTGAGGAATGAAAACGAAAAGCACGTTACTATGTACACTCACGACCAGACATGCACGGAATATGTGTGTACATACATGTGTATTTTTCCATAGACAGTATATATATATATATATATATATATATATATATATATATATATATATATATATATATATATATATATATATGTATATATATATATATATATATATATATATATATATATATATATATAAACACACGCACGCACGCACGCACACACATATTTACATGTATGTATATATATGTATGTATACAAAGTATGTACGGTATGTGTGTATATATGTATATATGTACGTATATGTGTGTGTGTATGCATGTATTTACGTATATATTATATATATATATATATATATATATATATATATATATGTATGTATGTATGTATGTATAACATACCTACATATATATTAATATGTATACATACATTTACATACACACACACACACACACACACACACACACACACACACACACACACACACACACACACACACACACACACACACCACACCACACACATATATATATATATATATATATATATTATAATATAATATATATATATATATATATATATATATATATATATATATATATATATATATATATATATATATATATATATATATATATATATATATATATATATATATATACACACACACACACAGTATAAACGAGCAAGCACCCATCCACAAGCAAACAAATACACAATAAATAGGGCGATACAGTTGGACGTGCGAAATATAATGCCATTTATAAGAGAAAAAATTGCGATCACTAGCACGTTAGCATGACGTACTTACGCATTTTCTGTCACCGCACAACCGCCCAATATTTGATTTGCTATGTGGAAAAAAACTAAGCATAGCAAATTAAGGTCACGAATTTACAATGGACTTAATTTAAGCCATCGTTATCATTAATGGCACTGTACATTTGAAAATCACTGATTTGAGGCTGTGAATTCACTCACTCTCGCGCAGACACGAATGAATTCTTGCAATAGAAAACGAGAATTCCCGAGGTATGCATGGGTCTCACTTCATTTTCTTTGTATATTCAACACTAATTCACTTACTGTGATATCAGGTAGTCGTTCTCTAGTTATTGCACACGTTAACTAGTTCACGGTAGATGCAGAGAAAGGTCTGCTCTTCTATACAATCACATTTGTTCTCCAGCTGTTCAACACTATCATACTGTACATGCACTGGGAGTTGAACTGAGCAGACGGGAAAAAAGTTACATCATCTTACATCATAAAGTTTCCAAAGGTCGTCAGAGTATTCCGTGCCAACTATGACATACAGATGTCAGAATTCTGTCGCTGATAGTGTATTTATTAACGTTTTCGTTAATGTTCGTATATCTGGTGAAAAGGCGAAAATGCCTTGTCTTTTTATGAAAGAAATAGGGGAAACTTCAGGCAACAAATAAAGCCAACATGGCAACTCCTCTTGCCATTTCCGCAAGTCGCTTAACCGACACGTGTTGAACTGACCAATACACCAACTTGGTTACATGGTCGAAATGCATTGGTCTAACAGCACATTCCTTGCCATAGAAAATGTATTGCATGAGGCGTGGATACACGTTTCAAGTATGTGAGCGGGATTATTGCTTAAAAGTTACCAGAAAGTGTATGCGCGCAGGCTTGAGTAAATGAAATTCCGAACGCATGAGCACATGCGTCGTACATGAATTTAATCTATGTGTAAGCGTCCGGGTGCAGCCCCTGTCTATATGTGTGTTGTCTTCAGGTTTTAAGTAAACAAAGCCATTCCGCTCTCGAGACCGCGCGGAGCCTTTTGTATATGTACATATATTTGCAGTTTTAATGCGCCTTGTCTTTTTTCTTCGTCTGTTTCGTCTGCGGCTGTCACTGCATCATGTTGCTACCGGATTATACAGCAGTTTTCAGAATTAAATGCATATTTTCTCTCCGGAAGCACAAAGTTTCGGGGTGAGATTTATTTTTTAACCAGACTCTGATGTCACTTTGACAGGTTCTCCCGCGGCGACACAGCCTCGCGTCATGATGGATGAGGATATTTTCATACACTTTTACCAGAGATTTAGAACTCCTTGGGGATCTCTTCCCCGTTCCCTCCCCCCGCAACACGCCCTTGCCCCCCCCCCCCCCACCCAAGTAGCTCCCTCTGCTGCCCTCTAGTCACCCCTCCCCGCCTCATCCCGCGAACACTCAAGGGGTTCTGAGGCCATTAATCTGTTTTGTTGATGATGTTATCGCGTATTTACCGGCACATGATCCAGCGGAGGGGGATGTCCCAGGGCGCGAGAAGGGTGGAGGATGGGGGGAGGCACCCATCAGCATGCCGTTGGAGTGAGTGGATGGATTGGCCTGCCCGTGATGGATGACAAGGAATGCTGGGAAATGTTTTGGACCAACTCCTATCGTTGCGACTTTCCTGTTAACGAGTATCGTAAATTTCTGCATTTTTCTCGGTACTCGAACCTAGATGGCCTCAGCGTTCTTTCTCATCCAGCATTTTCTCTTCATACCTTGCGTTTTTATTTGTTTTATTGATTTATGACCATCGCCGCTTAGTAGATGTATAGTTTCTTCAGCCTCCCGTTCACAGTCTCACAGCGTTCAAATCCCGTCATACTGGATAACTTAAAAGGCAAACATGAGTGTTGTTTGCACAGACTAGCAGTGCCGAGTCCGCCATGCGTGCCGAACAGAGCACCCCTAACCTTCTCGCTTGGTTACAGAGGTCAGGTTGCAGGTCATGCCAGCTTGACCCCCGCGCGCTGTGAGAGACATCTCTGGAATGCCATGAAAGATCTCGATCGAATCTGGCCCCTTTTTTCTTGCTAGTACTCACCAGGACGATGATGTCTCTGCTCTGGGAGGTTGGCGGCGCAGCGTCTCAAGACACAGGAGCCGACATACAGACATGTCGTCGCAGATCTACTGCCTTGACCTTATCTTGCATCCTGGTGTGGGAACATGAAGGTGCTGTGACCTTGCGAGCGCATCCACGGGGGCCGGCGACGAGGGTCAGGGGGGGTCGTGGAAGGTCAGGGAGTCGTGCTGACACTCCCGAGGCTGCGTCATGTTTTCTGAAGGGAGGCTTTGCATTCGTGGGAGGGAGGCGTCGTCAGGGGCTCGTCGGGGGCGCGGGGGTGATTGAGACGGCTTCCTGACGGGGAAGGCGCCGGACGGGACGATCAAGGGCGAGCCAAGATGACCGCTGACGTTGCTGATGAACTCTCTTGTGATCCTCCTGCTTCATCGCGTAAGATATTTTAGTTTATCCTGTATGGTGGCGGTATCATTATCACTATTATCATTTTCAAGCAGTTTTCTTTTTAACGGAGTATGTCGACATGATTTTTTGAAACGATGAATGCAATCGATTATCAAAACTATTCAACGCAATAATATACCTAAACAAATAATAAAATCCCTAAATAAGTAATGAAGATAGAATAAAAGTCATATTCCTAAATGATAGCCATCGATGGATAGTCTGCGTAATAAGCAGTGAGGGAACCGTACATTCGCCTCGTCATCTACCAATATTTAGACGTGTAATCACTCGACGGCCGCCGCAGGCCAGCCCTGTGATCGCGATTAGTCTGTACGCGTATGTGTATTTATGAAATCGTGTGTGTGCGTGTGTATGTATGCGTGTTTTTGATGAACAGATCTTAATGCCAGACAGAGTAATACAAACCAAATAAAGTAGATACGAGTCATTGCGTAAAGGGAATGGACAGAATGCAAAACAAGGCAAAAAAAAAAAGAGAAAAAAGGCTTCAAGGAAAGGATAATCAAAACAGATAGCCAGATAGACGAGCTGTCGACGAGAGGGATACAGTAAAAAATCAATCAATCAATCAATCAATCACATACAACGCTGACCCTTCAATCTGTATGGAAACCTAATAAACGGAATAGGTAATAAAGACACTATCAATATGAAACGGAAGAGATAACAAAGAAAGGTTAACTACACGAAAGACAAAAAAAAAAAAAAAAAAAAAAAAAATAGCCCTTACTGGACAGCAATCAGTACCGGTCATTCAAGGGCGCGGGCACGTTGCGGCATCATGGCATCGAAAGGAAAAAGATGTCTAACCCCTGATACCCTGAAGGAGATGTCAGTTGATGGGTATGTAGCCCTGACGTCAGATGACCTTCGCAGTTTTTGTCCCGTCCTCAGTATCATCATCTGATAGTGCAGGGTAGATTATGGATTCAATATAGGTTTGATAATAATATGAGACGATAATGATATCGTGGGTCGTAATCTCGGTGATAAGTGAGATTAGGGATAATGTGTGTACTTATATGGCGCAGTCTTTCATAAAGTTCGTTGCATTATCCTGTTTCTCTCTCTCTCTCTCTCTCTCTCTCTCTCTCTCTCTCTCTCTCTCTCTCTCTCCTCTCTCTCTCTCTCTCTCTCTCTCTCTCTCTCTCTCTCTCTCCTCTCTCTCTCCCTCTCTCCCTCTCCTCCTTCCCTCCCTCCTTCTCCTCTCTCTCTCTCTCTCTCTCTCAGTGTGTATATGTTTGTGTATATCTATGCATGTGTGTTGTGTGTGTGTGTACTGAGTAGGCCTAAGTGCATATACATATATACGTGTGTGTGTGTGTGTGTGTGTGTGTGTGTGTGTGTGTGTGTGTGTGTGTGTGTGTGTGTGTGTGTGTGTGTGTGTGTATATATATATATATATATATATATATATATATATTATATGTGTGTGTGTGTGTGTGTGTGTGTGTGTGTGTGTGTGTGTGTGTGTGTGTTTATTCATATATATGTGTGCATATATATATATATATATATATATATATATTATATATACATATACATATATACATATGTTTATGCGCACACATACATTACACACACGCGCGCGTGTGTGTAATAGCTTTTAAAGATCAGTCAGTTCATCCGTAGGCGTCACTCTCCCTAATGCTCTGCGAATCAAATTCATTCACG